CCATTCGTAACCAGTGCAATGCCCTTAAAACAATGTGATATCCTTATAAAGGTTGTTGTCAACTAACAGTCAGGCTATAGCATTCTGTATCGATGCAGTTTCCAAAAAAGTTTTAAAGGCACTCATTTAAGATGCATTGCTGCAGGCTCAGTATGGGAAAGGTGTGAGTCATCTTTAATATCTATTCCTTCCACTTTTAGCATGAAGGAAAAAAAATGATTGCAAGTTTGCTCTTTTCATGAATTTACATCTTTGAATTTCCAAACTTCCTTGGAAAGTAGGCTTACCTGTATGCAGTACTGACAATTATAAAACCTAAATAATACATGTATACCTGGTTTTAAAGGTGTCAGCTGTTATCCATTAATTATGCCATTACTTTATGATGTAGGATAAGGAGTTGCAGAACATGGGGGCCAAGTTAAAAGAGGGACCATCTAGAATCTCTACATAGTCACAAGAGGACTAAGTCCAATCTCCTCCCCTTGAATTCTGTTGACTCTTAACTAATTCCAGGCAGGTGCTGTTTAATTGAGAAGATTCCCGTGCATAGGCTGTTTAGCAATATATCAGTTTAATCCAGGGATGTCAAACTTGATTTCATTGAGGGTCGCATCAGGGTTGTGTTTCACCTTGGGGGTGGGCCTGGCCAGATTGGGCCTGGCCAGATTGGGCACACCCAACTTGATATCACTAGTGTTGGGGACGGCTGTGGTGGTCTAAGCCCTCTGCCAGTGAAAACCGGCTCCCAAGCTGTGTTTTCAGCTGCGACTGCCTCTTGCAACCCTCTGCCAGCAAAAATGGAATGGGGGAGCACGCAGCCCTCACAACCTCTGTTTTCAGCTGTGATGGCCTCCTGCAAAACATTTTCACTGGTAGAGACACCATGGGCCAGTCCTTCACTGTTTCCAGGGGGCCAGATCTAAGCACCCCACAGGCCGAATCTGGCCCCCAGGGCTTGAGTTTGACACCCCTGGTTTAATCAGTTTCCTTCATGTGTAGTAGGGGTGTCATGCCCACCCTAGTTCCACAAAGAGAACATCATGTGACAGCAATGTGACACCCATAATGTATGGACTTGCTCTGTGGTATCTGACAATGTAGCTTTAATTTGATCCATTCTAGTTCTACCAACATTTGGCAATGAACCATTAATAGGTGAATGCCCCAATAATGCCCCAATAAACTTAGTATGAAACAGTTAGAATACACTTATATCTCGTCAGAAGATATGTCATTTATCAAGAAAATTAAACTCCTTAGAATAGATATGTATTTTATATTACCCATGTCCATTTTAGGAAAACAAAATCAATTCATTTCATCATTTCCTTCTGTACTTTATTCTTGATGTTCCTGTTTCCAGTCTTTGAGAAAAGGTAAGGTCCAGGTTGTTATCTGCTGTATATTTGACATCTGTGCCCATTAAAATATATTTTCAGTTTCAATAGTTGAATTCAGTTTCAATCATTCAATTGATCAGTTTAATCAATCCCACATGTTTACAGACTGCTTCTCAATGACACAATTACACCTTGAGGCTAGAGAATCACTATTATGGATCCTAACTCATCACACCAGTCCTGCTGATATAATTGCAGCAGGTAAGACGTTATTTCTAGCCCTACAGGATCCTCATGAAAAACAGCAGTCATTCATCTTCCAATTTATGAGAAAGTTACATAACTACTGATTGTACTGATCATGTCATATCCCTTGCCCTCATCAGCCCTCACAGGCAAAACAATTAACTTTTTTTGTTACTGTTTGCCTTTTAAAGTAAAACAGGAGAGAAAATACAAGAGAAGCAGACATAAAAAAAGAGAAACATAAATAGATGAAGTTAAAATGAATTATAGGCTGCATGTGGCATTAAAGATGGAAGAGGGTCTGAAAATATTTGGCTACTGATTTAAGGTCATATTGCAATAAATTGCCCTTGTAATTAAAGGATTATTGCCACAAATAATTCGATGTTTGGAAAACAACATGAAGAATTAAGCACAGAAAATAATCCTGACAAATTGTGACAAAGTGACAAATTGAAACCCCTTTTTTGGATCTATCGCCCTGAATTCAGTAGAGCTCATGATTTCAATATTAATGATTTCGGAGTCACTGGACTCTACATATCCATTTATAGATTGCAATTAAGTAATGTAAGGCTGTTAAATCATACCTCCTACGTTACACTCAGGGTTTTTAGTACATTTTTGGCTCTTACAGAGGTGATACTATGAGAAAGTAGAGAGATGTATTTTATGCTTCCCCTTAATATCAAACCACTTTATCTGCATAAGCCATTCATGCCCATGTCTCTATCTCCGATGTGCTTTCTGCTTTTCCTAATCTCATAGCTGAACTGTATGATTATTTAGACTTGAGATTTCAGCAGGCAAAAATCAGTCTGTGACCTAGCCCTTTTTTCACCTGCCTTAAGGCAAAATGAAAGGTTATGTAAACCACAACATCTGAATAAGAAAAGGAATGGATTGATTTAATCTCTAAATACATAGGAGTTTATTACATGAAGCACATAAAAAAGGAAGATAAGAGGAAAAAATGGGTGCACAGGAATGTTTGTTCTTGGTGCAATATATTCTGGTTTATTACTATTACTATTTTTATTCCTGAAACAAACATGCATTATTCCATAAGAGAGACAGCAGTCCAGTTGTAGGCACACATCATAAGAATATATGTGGTTGAGACCATACAAGAGCTTATTCTGGGATTTCTCCATGCATCTTGTAGTCAAGCCCCAGGTGTGCATACTATTAAGGCTTAGAATTGAAGTCCTTCCAGGTCTCATCAAAGCCTTGCCCAAAAAACAGCCCTGCTCCATCTGGCTAAGTGTCTACTTCAGAAAGAGCTGAAGTGAGTTTTGCCAGGGACGGGGCCTTAAGTGTACAAATTCCTTTCAAATTTCCAGCCTCTTCTCTGAGCTTTTAAAACTTACAGAATGAAACCCCCTGCATGATATCATACAACCACCTGAGCAATGCCTTTCTTAGGAGTAAACACCAGATGATCAACAATGAATAGGCGGTCGAATTCTCTGAGGTGCAAATCAAACAGAAATTGGGGAAAAATCAATAAGCCAAGATGTTTCCACCAAAAGGATTTAGAATCATTTCAAACAGGGATTTAAATGAAATCAATTAGTTTGTGTTACAGTAGGAGTCCATTTTTACCTAGAATTCTGAGATAAGGGCTGACTTTTATTTTTGGAGAATAATGTTTGGATATTAATGGGCTCTGTCTTTAAATGAAATAAAATATACCAATTCTATGTCAGACTAAGAGCAAAGTAAAGGATATTCTGAAAGCTTCCATATATCTCTTCTGAAACCACTGAGCACCATAGATAGCTTCTAATGCATTGTATGCAGTCTACACACACCAATGTCAACGAATTCAAATCCTGATGGAGGATTTGAACAGCATAGAATAATGTCTGGCTACCAATGCCTGATAAATCCCAGATAGGATGAAAGCAGCCATGTAGTGCCTCCTGTGGCCAATATAACTAAAAACTCCACGTAGGTTACATACTGTGTAAAAACTCTTTTATATGGGGGCATGACATAATGTAAAATCTGTATCTCTGCGTTCTGAGTGCTTCGGGGAAGGTGGACTTTATACCATTTGGAGCTCTTCTAAAGAAAGAAATTGCTTTTATTGTAATGTACTAAAACAGCAGCATTACCTGGTCTTTGATGTTTATTATGGGAAACGTTCCCCCTTCGATTTTTAAAAGCAGCATAAAACTTTGGAAAATCTTTTTTTCCCCACAGCAGTGAACTAAACCAATTAACCATGATTTTTCCTAATTAACTCTAAGAGATGACTTTTATAAGTTGGTTGCATTGCAATACTTTTATATTTCAAATTAGACAATTTCAAAGCTCTGCTTTTATGGCTTGGATCAAGCCAGTCCCCTTCAGTTTTTTTGATGGTTCCATGTCTGTTCAGTAAAACTCTGACACCAGGGCAACCATCCAGAGGAAAGAAAGCAGAAGATAACACACATAGCAGAATCGCTAATGAACACAGTGAACAAAGGGAGTGATTATCTTGCTCACTGTATAAAGAGTTTCCCTGCAAATGCTGAATGTAAGCTTAGTCGGAGGCAAAGGTGTTCTTTGTGGTGGGTGGGATGGCAATAAAGGTACCCAATTCCCCCCCCCCCTGCCTCTTCAGGCCAAACATGGAAGGCAAGCAACCTCTCTTAAAGACAGACTTGGTTTTTCTTTGTAAACAAGCCAGTTCTGGGTTTCAGGTACATGATTTTAACCACCATTTCTGCAACAAAATTGATTTTTTTTCAACAGAGTGGGCCTTTAAAATAAATATAAAACATTTACTTATTCAAATTTCTGTGCCGCCCATCACTCTAGCAAGAGATTCTGAGCAACTTAAAGAACAAGATAAACAATTACAGGAATAAAAACACTAAATCATCAGACGTTAAAAGTTAAAACATTATGGTTAATATTAAAACAGAAGAAAAGAGCCAATTTGTAGACAGGATGGAGGTGGGTTCTTCTACTCATCTACGAGCCACCTCCAAAATGGGATGCCCTCATCAAAATGAGACGGCTTGACAAACAGAAACAAATACACACAATCCTTATCTGACAATTCCATATCAGCTCATATGTCCACTCTTTCAATATTTTTATTTCAAACTCTCTGTACATGTGTACTACATGACATTCATCTAAATTTTACTTATTTGCAATGGTAACCCAAAATAATACTTTTCTAATTTTGCTAATAAACATGTATTCTGCCTTTCCATTTTGATTTCATGTCAGTTTGGTTATTTATTCAGATTGCCTTACACAGACTCAAAGCAAGTTGCCACCCCCCTCCAGTTCACCTAGCTCTGAGGCAGCTAAAACAATGGATTTACTTATACCCCTTAACACACACACACACACACACATACACACACACCTATTTCATCAGGGGAGATATAAATAATTTATATGTACCTTCCTTTGACTTGTGCGTTTCCTCCAAAGTTGTCTGGGCACAGTAGACCTCACGGATCTGTATCCCACCTCCACAGAGTGCTGCATGTTTATCGAGTCGAGGGTCCTGCCTTTCCAACAGGAGAGAAACATCACATTCCTTCCATTCAGAGGTTTTCCATGAATATCTTGTAGAGAACAAGGAATAGAAAACATTTATGTAAAGTCCACTCACAAAGAGTTCCATTTAACAATTTTTCAAATAAAAGAACTGCAAGACTAGATGTTATTTTTAAAGCATAAATGCCATACTTTTTAGATGAATTTACTCCATCTACATTCCCTCAAGAACATTCTGAATATCTCAGGATTTCCCTAAACTGAAAGAAACCCAACAGGAACGGAAAAACACATGACAGGAAAATACCCCGGTAAATATTAGTAAGTTTAAAGTATTATTTAAAATAAGAAAATGTGAAAACCCATAGAGATTTTTTTAAATGACAGAGAAAAGCAAGAAAGATTATGTGTACAATCTCACAATTAAGACCTCTCACATTTTTGTTTCAATGCTGCTGTCTCAAGTAGTTCTGTGTTTCATTTGAGGTATTTCATTTCATTAAACATGACACAGCTCCAACTGGCCATTCTGCGCTGAGGCAGGACTGGGGCCTAGTCACCTCCTTCCATGGCCATTTCATTCATCCTGAGCTGCTGGACTGGTGAAAAGTTATACATTTTCTTTTTCTATCTTTGCTGTAAGGAGTTTTTTTTTCTATCTTCACTGTAAAACTATGGATATTTCTTTTGACTGGGATGATATAAGGTTCCTGCCTTGAGGGGGCTAGACTACAAGACCGCGGAGGTCCGTTCCAGCCCTATAATTCCATGTTCTACATTTTTTTTTCTATTTCTTCCTCCCTGGGTGAATTTGAAAAGAATTCCACCATTCACAGGAAGAAGAATAAACAGCAGTGTATGGGCAGACATAGAAGCTCTCAAGAACAAAGAGGTGGACAAGGCTCATAACAAAGGTCTTCAATGAAACCATAAAATATGGTCCTAAAAGATTTGCCTACAAGAAAAGATCACAGTTCTAAAACATTTTCCCCTGGCCAATCACTTGAACTCTTATGATTTCTTTTAGACTTTGCAGTCTTCAACCTGATTTATATAAAGGGTAAGCCATTGAAAACCAGTTTCAATTGGAGCAGCTTATAAACTATTTCCAACTAAATATTCCAATTAAAAAAAAGAAGGGGGGAGAGACAGCTTTAGGCCATTGTGGATTGGAATATCAAATTGGACCAACGGACAAGACTTCATATTGGTTGGAATGAATTCTTTGGGTTAGTTCGCTAAATGTTCCCCTTAGCTACCTGGTACTAGAACTACAGGTAATAGAACTGTAGATTTTTAAAAAGTATCAGAAAGTTGGCTTGGGAACGTACTATATATATTTACATCTTATTTTGGAGCTTGTTTTCTTCCAAGGTAAGTTCATTAATTAAGATGAACCAGCTTGAACTTGATACTTATTTGGGTTTTGACTTTTCCCAGGAAATTCCAATTTTATCCAAATGTGCCTAGAATTGTCTAGGTGTGTGTATCACAGAGAGAATGAGTGAGAGGGAGGGAGGGAGGAAGAGAATAGCCTATCAGCCTTCCTTATTTACTGAAAGTCCAACATTGTAAGTCTATACAAAGAGGGTAATTTACGCAAAGAAAGGAAAATTACAGTGACATTTGCTTTCTATAGTTTTACAAGCAAAATGACCCTCAGAAACACTTGCATTATTTTCCTCTTGTTTTATTCTCACAATGCATCTACTGGCACTTCCACGGTTTCTTGGCATCACACAGAACTGCTGATAATCGTGAAGTCAGTGTCTCATGTATGCTGAGAGAGCTGTTCCTCTTCAAGTCTGGATGCCTGCTTACTCATATTCAATAGCTTTTATTTTACTGCTTTTAAAGAGATGAACATTCTGGTTTTCAGCTCATGTTGAGCACAGTATAGCGGGATTCTGAATTTGCAAAAATTAGTAACTTAAAAAATATCCTTGGCAAGCTCTCACTTCAATGATAGTATTTTTAAATAGCAGTAGCTGTGATCGAGTGACTTCTTTTGGCATACAGCCCTCTAATCCGCAATCCTTTTTTCTTCTTTTACTTTTATCTGCTTGGGATTTCTAACTTTCCAAAAGTAGAAGATCAAGTCAGTGAGAATTCAGTAATTCAATAGAAAGCTGAGGTCCAAAGCCACAGGCAGGGATAAAATTTAATAAATTTAAAACCTCATCGCTTTTAGATAATTCAATGCCTGATAGTTATGTTACACATCTAGTTCTATGCCTAAACATTATGTACTCAACATCTACATATGTGTTTCTTTCATATTTTGTTATGTTCTACTATTAAACTTACTTTCTCTTTTTAAGGACAATGACCAGGAAGACGGATTGTGCAAAAACTTGATATTATGAATGTTTTAAAAATTCTGAGAGCACTGAAATGGCAGTGAAAGACCATAGACTGAATTCTTCATCCTTCATTTCCTCCAATATCTCCCACCCCCACCCCCGCCCCATCAATAGCCTTTGAAGATAGCCTACAAAATACTGAGGAAGATCTATCTCTGAATATCTACCTCGCACTGGCAACACATTTATTTTATTCATAAGGTTGGGTATCGGGGGTGGGATTCAACCGGCATTACTACCGGTTTGGTAATTACTTTTTTTGGAATGGGAAGACAACTTCTGAGGGTGTTTCCTACATGTCTCCGCAGCAGATTTTTAACAGGTTAGGCAAATGGCTCAGATAGTCAATACCTAAAACCACCAAGAATTTAACAATTCAGGACAATACTTTAAAGTGTGCTTGGAAGTGTGAAGATTTTCCGGTCTCCATATCCTGGGAGCCAGGTCTTTGCATCTGTTAGTAATTACCACTTGGGTCAACTTTGGCATACTTTTCATGTAGAACATTTTGCATAGTCCAAGTTGGAATGTGCTCAAGGCACCCAAAATGCTGCAAATCCATTTGACTCATGAACAGCTATATTCAACTAACTCCTCTCTACAATTGTCATTTGGGAAGCTAACAATAGCTGAAAACCAAAGAGTGTGCATACACACACACACACAGGGAAGCACAAACCATCAAAGACGAACTGAACTTCATTTCCAAAGCCAGATATTACTCATTTCTTTGCACTCATTTAACTCTTTGCCAAACTTAGACAATGCTCCAGAGCAGCGATCACCAACCGGTGGGCCGTGAGAAAATTTTGGTGGGCCGCAGAGAAATCTCACCCCCAGAGAACACCCCCAAAGCAATTAATCCAGGCTGCGCAGAAACATAAGGCTGTGCCGCCCACATGGCCCGTGGGAACCCTCCCCGCCCATTCACTCCTTATCCGGCAAACTTGCCTGCTAAATTGCTATTTTTCCTTTTTCTGACCATCATCTGTTCTGCTGTGCTGGGAAATTTAGATTAGCTAGGAAGCAGGAAATGGTTGGATTTCTTGCTTTCTAGCTAGTCTTTAGATCTTCGGCTCTGCTTTTAAGCACAGCCAAACCTTCCTTAGGACTGAAGGTTCTATTATTCAGTGCAGACTCATGGCAAGCAAATTTGAGAGACTGATCTAGCCGATGGCAGATAGATAGAACACTGAATGATTCTGGGAGCAACTCAATCTGCCTGCCTGCTTTGCCTGATTTGGGGTAAAAGTTGCTCTTTTTTAAATAAAAAATTCAATATTTACATACATGGTGTGTTGTGAGTTAATTTTGTGAGTTTGCTTGCAAGCAAATTTTATGTGACAGACTGAACTAGCCAATGGCAGACAGATAGATTTCTGAATGAATTATTGATTCTGTAAGCAACTCAATCTACCTGCCTGCTTTGCCTAATTTTGGTTAAAAGTTGCTCTTTTTTAATAAAAATATTCAATATTTATATAAATATTTATAATATTTACATACAAGCCATGGCAAGCCAGTCACATGACCACCAAGCCACACCCACAACTTAGGCCACACCCACAAAACTGGTTAGTGGCCCCTGGGATTTAAAATTATGAGTTTGGTGTTCCCTGAGGTCCAACAGGTTGGTGACCCCTGCTTCAGAGCATTCTGATACAAAGATACCTATAATATTTTTCAACCTGGGTATGTTGTGAAGGCGATTCCCACTATAGGGATCAGACCTGCCATTCTACTCTGCAGATTGTCTACTACAGCAGAATTCTGCAGATTTGATGGTGCTTTATCTCATCCTTCTTATACAGGTAGTCTTCCACTTGCAACCATAGTTGGGTCCCAAGTTTCCATTGCTAAGCAAGACAGGTGACTTTTGCCCCATTTTATGACCTTACTTGCCACAGTTCTTAAGTGAACCATTGCAGTTGTTATGTTAGTAATACCGTTGCTAAGTGAATCTGGCTTCCCCATTGAGTTTGTTTGTCAGAAGGTCACAAAAGGTTATCACTTGATCCTGCCTGGTACAGTGCTACTGTCATAAATATGAACCAGCTTCCAAGCATCCAAATTGTGATCACATGACCATGGGGATACTGCAACAATCATACGCATGAAAAACTTTTTTCACACTTAAGTGACTTTTTTCAACGCCATTGTAACTTTGAATGATAACTAAATCACTTTGCAAAGGAGCAAAGGCTGACTCTGTTGGTATGGACATGTCCAAAGAGCAGCACCTTTCACCGTGGCCAAGACTTCCTACTAAGTAGAAGTCAATGGCCGGCAACCGCGCTGGCATCCAAAACACAGGTGGCAAGACACCATCAACAAAGATATGCAAGCTGTGGGCCTGCGCCCCGGAGGCACAGCTGACCGTGCAAAGTGGTGTTCAATGATCCACAAAGCGGACCCTACTCCTGCGGGAATACGCTAGGAAGAACAAGATTGTAATTTCGAATGATCACTAAACAAATGGCTGTAAGCCAAGGACTGCTGGTAGAATTATTTCGTCTGAGCCACTTCCTGAATGCAATCTAGCTATTTTAGACTCTAAAAAAATGTTCCTGCATTTCTCTTTGAAGGTCATCTTATTTTCTAGACTAAAAAAAGATAAAAAAAAACTTCCCGAGATGCATGGAGGACAAGGGTTTGAGTATCTGTCTCATATTCAGAAAAATGTGCACGGATCCACTCTTTTGTTCGTCATGCGATCAAAGGGTGCCAACCAACCACAGGGCCAACCCTAAAGCCACTAGAGCAGGGGTGGGATTCAAATTTTTTAACAACCAGTTCTGTGGGCATGGCTAGATGGGAATGGCTAGGTAGGTACGGCCATGTGACTGCGTGGGCATAGCTTCTTCTTCTTTGCAGCACCCCCCACACTCCATTTAGAGGCCTTCTGGACTTCAGGGAAGCCTCCTGGGCAAAGCGGTAAGACAGCGAGGGGAATCCCGGCACAGTTGATCGTAGAAAGAGCTGATTGTCAGGAGCAGGGAAAAATACCTTAAGGAGTGACTAGGCAGGGAAGAACGCAGTCAGCAATGTTGGGCGTGTGCGATACGTTGCACATGCACAATAAGGACTGACTGGGAGGGGAGAGGTGGATGGAGAGGGGCAGGATTGGCCAGTTCTCCAAACTGCACAGAATCATAACAACCGAACCTATCCGAACCGGTAGAATCCACCCCCTGCACTAGAGGAACCAGAAGATCAACTCTGGTTGAAACAAGAGGAATGTAATGGTATGGGATACCTTGGGCAAGGCTGAAGGTGTTTTCCTCCACCGTCAGTATTGCAGGCTTCTCTTTCTTCAGTTTCAGGGCATTCCTTCCCAGCTCCAAGAGCCTCGTGTATTATAATCCTTCTTCTTCTGCGGAATCCTGGTGAGAGATCCCCTGAGTAACAAGTCTTTGAACAGGAGCTCCAGGAAGACCAGCCTGATGTTTCACAGTCTTTAGGAATAATGCAGGAGCGAAAGGTCAAAGGGATAGCTTCTTGCATACAAAGGCTGCGATAAGAAAGTGTTTTGTTAGAAATAAATCCTGAAGAGTTATCACTGAAGAGCAGGACAAAAAAAAAAAAAAAAAACCCACACACTACAATCACTCCATAATAATTAGATTCCCTCCATTACATTTTATCAACCCCCTAATTTGTTATCTTTTGCCAAGTAGTAGAAGAGATTAAGGAAACCAAAGAGACATTGCAGAGTAAGAATGTACACGCGGTTCAATTAAAAGACTGTCTTAAACTAATATCAGAGCATGGCAACATTGAAAGGATTCCAATATTACTATCTCATTGATTTAAGGCTGCTTTTTGGAAAGATGAAGTATGTCGGCCATGCAAATGTCAATTCAGAAAATGAGACTTCCCCTAATAACTTTCTTCTTCAAATAATTAAGATTGGGGTGTAAATTTCTTGAAATGAGAGACAAGCTCAACAGCCTCTCTCTGTATAATGTCTCACGATGCCACAATTTTGTAACAGGATCATAGCATTTAATCACATATAATGTGAGGTTAATTACACAAAATGTAGTATAAAATCACAAAAGTGCTAAAGGGTCACTTCTGCTTTGTAAACTGGAAATTAATGTAACCGATATTTGCTACATAAAAATGTAAAAACAGATCTCTCAGAGCTTGTTTGAAAATATTATTACTATCATCATCATCATGGTTCATTGCAAAGCCAGCCAGATGTTTAGGTTGGATTTGGCCTATTTATCCCCCGTCAACTTCTTCATTTGGTTATTCTTGCAGGCCAGGTTGGTCTTTCCAGTACTCATCAAGCCTACATTAATGCATCTTCTTCACTATCCTTCAGATATTCTTCCTTTCCCTCCCCTCCGCTTAGACTCCAATGTAGCGACAACATTCCATGCCCAGCCATTTTCCTTGGTAAGTAGTGTCTGTCAACATTGCTGCATGGATGAATGATACACTGTCATTATTTTTCTGATCTTCCTATCCAAGGCGGATATAATGACTGAAATTTCCCAGGTATAAGTTGCCTTCATGGTATTTCCTCCACTGAGTTTGGACTTTTTAATATCTTCTTCACTCTTGGGAAATATTCATTTCTAACTTTCTTCTTGACTTCAAAGTGCTTGATGTTCTCAGCTTGAATGATATTATTATTATTACTATTGGAGATGGACATTGCAGCACGGGTACTCAGCAAGGCAATCGCTCCTATTCATACCCCTGTAAATAGCAATACGACAAAGAGATACAGCAGTCTTTGTTTTTGTTATTGCTGAGAGTGTCCATCATCACTATTTTCTTCCATTCTTTTGCTTCAAGGCTCAATAACTCCATTTCAAACAAAGGAAGGAAGCAGTGATTGGTACTTGCATGGCCTTGAACAAACATCTTTACCTACTGAAAATGAGATTTGGAGTACATCTCTCAGGACCCTCAGTGGAAAAATTATTTTTGATAACAAATAATTTCCATCACTCCAAAAAGTAGAACGAAAATAGTAAAATGCTACATCCAAACATATATTACAGAAAAGAAAAGATAAGTTGTCACTTCTATCAACCATCTTATTATATAATTATATACCTGACTCTGTGGTTTCTTCCCCAAACCCCCAAAACTTTAACCTTAGACTGTCTACTATTGACCTCACCCCTTTCCTAAGAGGTCTGTAGGGGGCGTGCATAAGCGCACCAACGTGCCTACCGCCCCTGTCCTATTGTTTCTTTTTATTTTTCTTATAAGTATCCATTTCATGCATTCATAACCATGTTTATACTTATACCTGTTATCTTGTAAGCAATTGACAAAAATAAATAAATGAATAAATAAATGAATAGCTGTATCATTCAGGATCATGGACTGGCAATGTGCACCACAGAATAATTGAAATTATAGTTCTATATTCTTGGTGTTCCAGCTAAGTGGGGAGGAATCCACTCACAGACTCATACCTCACTCCTATATGATAGCATAATATATTGGGTTGATTCCTGGGCCAGGGACCTCTACTGATTTTGTACCTTTTGCCCCAGTCTGATTCTTTTTTTCAACATATAAGGATGAAGTGGTCAAAGGAGATTATTAAAGGAATCATATGACTGCCATTATCTAATTAGGTATCTACATGCCTAAACTGATTCAGTAACATTATCATAAATTTTTAATATATCACAGGAAAGAATGATCTGTATAACCTATGCAAAAACTGGTCTAGAAGAGGTAAGAATTCAAGTCTGTACCAAAATGAGTTAATAAATGGATGGATCATTCATTCATTGTCAGGGGTCTTTTTCTCTTGAAATATATATTTAACCTAGAAATGAACTAAAATGCTGCCAAAAGCACTGTTTCAAATGATTTGGTTTTAATGCATGTACTTATCTCTTTCTCCAGCCATGAGTCATATGGCAAATTAATCTGGTCTGTACAGGAATTTAAGTACAGAAACTCCTGTGCAATTATAATACTGCAGAATAATTCAAGCAAGATTTGAAGGTGGCTATATCTTTAACTCTACAGGTGAACTACAGGGACAATTTTCACTTAACAGAACTCTAAAACAACATGCCTTTTGTCTAAATCACACTCCAAAAAAGAAGATATATAAAATGTAATAAGCAAAAGGTCACAAAGATACTAACAAATACATTTCTATTCCACTGGTCCTGCAAATATTTCAGCAAGATTAATAAAACTCCTTCTATTTTCTTCCTTATTTTCTTTGGTGAGATCTGGGAATTACAGATCAGACAAAGGGGTCACATAAAGACACCAAGAAGATTGAAAGGGATCCACAGCCTCTCACATGATTTCAGCCAGTAACATTACTATATTTTTTCTAACCTAATACTAGCTATCAAATTATTATTTCCATTTATTTACTTAGTACATTTATATCACAGGAATGATAAGAAAATTAACCCAGAAAAGAAATGATATAAAGAAATGTTAAACTTAAAGACATGACAAAGTTCCCATTCTATAAAAAGCTATGTCAACCCATTACCTAAGCCGTTACTACACAGGAGGCTAATGGAAAATAGATCAAAACACAAATGATCCAGGAGATTACAACGCAGGACCCAGGATACCACAACAAAAGAACTCGCAAGCCCATCACACAACCCATTACCCAAGCCATTAAAACACGAGAGGCTAATGGAAAAAAGATCACTACAAAACAAACGTCCCATGAGATTACAGCACAAGATCCAGGATATCTCCACAACAAAACTCACAAGGCCATCACACAGCCCATTATACCAACATCAACTCCATCAACCAATCTAGAGGCAACAGCACAGCCAACCAGCCCAGCACATCAGCCTCCACCACCAGTATTTATAGAGAGACGGCAGCTCTGATCACACACTGCTTGCACTGGCACGAAGCCAAAAGCACCAGCCTGAGGACGGCGAGTGGGACCTCGCCGAAACATCGCCAAGATACTCTTAATCTTACACGGGAAAAGACCCGAACACACCTAGACTTACATATACACTGCTCAAAAAAATAAAGGGAACACAAAAATAAGACATCCTAGATCTGAATGAATGAAATATTCTTATTAAATACTTTGTTTATTACATAGTTGAATGTGCTGACAACAAACTCACAAAACAATTATCAATGGAAATCAAATTTAGCAACTCATGGAGGTCTGGATTTGGAGTTACATTCAAAATTAAAGTGGAAAAACACACTACAGGCTGATCCAACTTTGGTGTAATGTCCTTAAACAAGTCAAAATGAGGCTCAGTAGTGTGTGTGGCCTCCACGTGCCTGTATGCCCTCCCTACAATGCCTGGGCATGCTCCTGATGAGATGGCGATGGTCTCCTGAGGGATCTCCTCCCACACCTGGACTAAAGCATCCCCCAACTCCTGGACAGTCTGTGGTGCAATGTGGCATTGGTGGATGGAGCAAGACATGATGTCCCAGATGTGCTCAATTGGATTCAGGTCTGGGCCCAACCGCACCAGCATATGGGCTCACAAGGGGTCTGAGGATCTTATCTCAGTACCTAATGGCAGTCAGGCTACCTCTGGAGAGCACATGGAGGGCTGTGCAGCCCCCTAAAGAAATGCCACCCCACATTATTACTGACCCACTGCCAAACCAGTCATCCTGGAGGATGTTGCAGGCAGCAGAACATTCTCTATGGCATCTCCAGACCCTGTCACGTCTGTCACATGTCTCAGTGTGAACCTGCTTTCATCTGTGAAGAGCACAGGGCGCCAGTGGCAAATTTGCCAATCTTGGGGTTCTCTGGCAATTGCCAAACGTCCTGCACAGTGTTGAGCTGGAAGCACAACCCCCACCTGTGGACGTTGGGCCCTCATACCACCCTCATAGAGTCTGCTTCTGACCATTTGAGCAGCCACATGCACATTTATAGCCTGCTGGAGGTCATTTTACAGGGCTCTGGCAGTGCTCCTCCTGTCCCTCCTTGCACAAAGGTGGAGGTAGCAGTCCTGATGCTGGGTTGTTGCCCTCCTACGGCCTCCTCCACGTCTCCTGATGTACTGGCCTGTCTCCTGGTAGCACCTCCATGCTCTGGACACTATGCTTACAGACACAGCAAACCTTCTTGCCACAGCTTGCATTGATGTGCCATCCTGGATGAGCTGCACTACCTGAGCCACTTGTGTGGGTTGTAGACTCTGTCTCATGCTACCACTAGAGTGGAAGCACCACCAGCATTCAAAAGTGACCAAACCATCAGCCAGAGAGCATAGGAATGGAGAAGTGGTCTGTGGTCACCACCTGCAGAACTACTCCTTTATTGGGGATGCCTTGTTAACTGCCTCTGCTTTCCACCTGTTGACTATTCCATTTGCACAACAGCATGTGAAATTGATTGTCAATCAGTGTTGCTACCTAAGTGGACAGTTTGATTTCACAGAAGTGTGTTTGACTTGGAGTTACATTGTGTTGTTTAAGTGTTCCCTTTATTTTTTTGAGCAATACACACACACACACACTTTGTTCAGGTCCACAAAAACACACTGAGACATAATGGAGATCTAGAAGATGAACAGACCTATGGAATAGCTGTTCTGCCCTACACAAGAGGTACTACAGACAAAATCAGTAAGATACTACACAGGCATTACATCAACACTGCCTTCAAAACAGACAGAAATATAGCAGCCATTCTAAGAAACCCCAAATATAAATTTGACCTGGAAAACCAAGGCATATATGAAGTCCCCTGCACATCATGCCCTGTCACATACATTGGACAGACCAACAGAAGAATAAGTACCTGCCTTGATGAACACAAAAATGCAGTAAAAAAGCTGGAAAATACTTCCTCATTAGTCCAACACATGAAAGCCACAGTTCATAGCATCGACTTCAATGGCACCAAAACCCTAGCCACTATAGAAAATCCCAGCTACAGAATTATCAGAGAAGCCATAGAGATTGAAAAAAGACCTGAAAGCATGAATAGATGATTCCACCAGACTGTCAATCATCTGGAAGCCTGCACTCACAAACAAAAAAAACCTCCAAACCACAAGCCAAGCAAACCCCTGGGCACAAAAAGCCCCCCCCCCCCCCCGATACTTCCAGCACAAACACACCCCAGGCACCCAGATGAAACCTACATTCCTAATAAATGATAGTCATCCATTTACTCAAAGCCAAGCTGCACTAAAAGCCTCCAATACAGGAAACACAATGTTGCCAGCCAATCAAGACAAAAAAATGCTACAAAACAGACAGAAGTTATTAGAAACACCAATCAAGCAGAACACAGCAAACTCCAAGACCAATAAACACAGACCAAGACTCCCAACCAATCAGGATGAGAAAAAAAACCCATTCTAACACAGCAGTAGGCTAGCACCAAATTTAAAACAGAAACGGCTGTGAAAGCCTGACTCACAGACGAACACAATACAGAAGCCTGATGATGGCAGATGAGAATCTGCCGAAACGTTGCTACAATTTTAAAAGCACAACTTTAACGACGTGGGAAAATACCCCAACAAAGCTGAATAACATACATACATACATACATACATACATACATACATACACACACACACACACACACACTCACACACATATATAGACAGACACACACATACATACATACATACATATATTCACTTTTTCTCCACACTTATTTTTATTTGTTTTTATCTTTGTATCTATAAACATTAGTAAAAATATTATTAAAGAAAGAAAAACTTCTCAATTTCCACTTTGTCATTGTCATGTATGATTTTTATGGAACTCAATCCAGTTCTGTCTCCGTTGTCTTTTCTCCAAGCTGCAGAGTCCCAAATAAGAATAGAATGTATTTCAGGTCTTCTGCTCTTATCAATCTGTGGTAGTCATAAATGCGTAAGAATTATTTGAATTACTTCTGCCATGCATTTGTGTTTCTTTTGATAATCAGCAGTCGAGTGATTTGAAATATCTGAAATGGCCTTTGTAATTGCTACAGGCAATGAATGCTATCTGCTCCCTTTAGCAGAAAATATGGGTTGAAACTCTGCCCCCCAAAAGGAGAAACACTTAATGGTGCTATCTCTCTGAACTATTTGATCCTGATTACCCTATTACTAAATAAGAGTAAATATACAATATTACTGGAAATTGCAGAATATAGACATGATACACAAAAGCAGATAGAATCAGAGAAACGCAACATTGAAAAAGATCGTGAAGATGACGTAGCCCAGCTCTCTCTTCTCTGCTACGGCAAACTTGACAGGTGGCTGTTCAGCCTCTGCTCACATAATTGGTAGCAAATGGTCCTCCATCTTCCCAGGGTAGGCTGTTCCATTAGAAAATAGCCCTTCCATTAGGAAATGTAACTACCTTTCAAGAAAAGATTTGTCGTGAATAAAGAGAACAACTTACCTCAATATAGCATTTTTCCCATCATTTCTTGTGCACCTCACCTGCCTTGTTTGATAACCAATTTCTATATCCCAAGCCCTGGAATTGTAATGGGACCTAAATTTGTGAGAATGTTGCAAATTTTCAACCATTTCAAGCTTAAAAGTGCTTCGCTCTAATGAATCTGAACTGAAATCCAGAATAGTTCTCCCAACCATGTTAAGCTCTTTCAGATGAGGCAACTGGCATTTACTCCAAGGTCCAACTTTAAGACTGTAGGAATATTCCTCTTCCGCATGAGGACAAGACATGGAAACCTCACAGACCCTGGACTCAGTGAGATTTGGACATTTGCTTCCACCATAGAGTGGGGGAGCAATAATAAAACGGGTTCTATGCTGTATACTTTTTCCACAATGTTTGCTACATTCAGACCAGGCAGAAAATTCGGATACGACACAATCTCGCGGGCAAGGTATTAGACAGGCTTGTTCCGTAGATGGCTGAGGAGTAAAATATCCACAAATCTCATTCGAAACCACTGTTCTATTCAACTTTTGTATGCATTGCACAGTTCTGTGTTGTAATCCGTGCTGTGCAGTCACACACTCTGAAGTCCTTGGTTTGACTTCACCGTGGGCAAAAGGGACTAGAACGCATATGCTCCATTCTGAAACTTCCCACTCAAAGAGTTCAAGGTGCCAATCACATATTTTAAAGCAGCTCCTCTGGCATTCAGGTCTATCACTTTGTTCACAGTTTGAATGATGGGTTGTCCAGCCTTCTGAGTGTACACACCACACTACTCGGCTCTGAACACCACCTGAACCACAGTCACCAATACATCGTCCCCAGTGACCTAAAAAAAAAAAAAGAAAGAATAAGAGATCTTAAGGTTGTTATTAAGGTTAACGTCTGTTTTCATGATGAAACACACAGAAAAGTAGAACATATGGTGAAACTACAGATCAGAGCCCAGTGGTCTAAGAACTGGTTCAATCTAGAACTAGCTTGGGTTCCTTTCTATTATGCCTGCAACTTTCCTAGTCAGAACTTTCAGAACTAGGAGGTGAATACTATAAGAGCTCAGAAGATGGAAAAGGGAACTTGTTTCTTATTTTGGAGGCTAAGAGAAGTTATATGCAAACACCTTTATACTAATCATTCAGTTCCCTTTAAGGGTGAATAATGTTTTTGCACACAGTAAAAAAAAAACCAATAAGTAGTAGTAAGCCAAAGGAAAAAAAGAGGAAGGAGGGTTAATTAATCTAAATTATATCAAACCAGTTATAAACTTTCAAGGAAGGGAGGGAGGGAGGAAGATTTATGATGCCCTCTGCCAGCTTCCCACAAGGAAAGTCAATGGGGAAGCCAGCAGGAAGTCGGAAGTCGGTCCTGCTCCCGCTTTTTTGCCCTTGGTCATTTTGTTTCTCTGTTTATGTAAATATCTCTGAAATAATGATCCAATGGGGGGCGGTATGGGTTGTCTAGTATAGACATATAGTTTTAAGTACTACTCTTGTATCTTCTAATAGCTCTTGTCACATTCTGCAATCAAGTCAACTTTGCAATTACTCATACCATAATCCAAACCTGTTCACTATTATAATCTTCCTCTAAATCAATACACATACAATAAGCTTTCTTTCTCACACTCGTACATTTTTAAAAGATCTGTTAAACAGAGAAAGATCTACATACTACCTGCCCAGCATAAAAATCGTATTACACAAAATTTGCTATCACCTCTTATATACCTTTCTTTTTCAGCTATACTAATCCCTCATCATTTTTGCATTCATTCTTATTGTCTTTCCTTTGGCATGAAGGAACGATAATTCCAGTCATCAGTTATACATGCGGTCTTCAAACGTACTTTAGATAAATCATACATCCTCTCCTTAACAAAGCACATCCATATTTTAACATCTCTCAAATAAACAGTCTACATTTTATTTTCAGTCCTACCAATTTTCCATAATTTTCACAGCAACTCTGACTTTTTTTTTCAACTTTTTTTGTTTCTTGGAGACTTACAAGAGTCATTCACTATCATTCCAATATAAATCTCTAAAATAATCCTTCAAGCATTCCCTTTCTTCAGTTTCACCCCAAGTCAAAGTTTCATCACTTTGTTTCAGCCAAAGCACATTTTTAAAAGTCTTCATCAAAATCATCAATTTGCACTGCCACTTTAATCTTAACAATTCCTTGCCCTCTTTGACTGCATGCTTTGCTATTTTTTTCCCTATACGTACATTCAGCAAGATCTCTCATCTTCATTTTTGCAACAATCATTTTCTTATGTGTATTTTTTCTTATATGCACCCTTTCACCTCATAATTCCTTCAAGCATCCTTTTTCAGATTTCCCATTAGGATACTTGCACAAACTTATATAACATAATTATTTTTACTGTCTCCCCAGCAGTTTTCTATATGCATTCTATTGGGAAATTAATCTGTCCTTTCATGTAGGAATCATATTTTTTCTTCTTGTAGTCTACATTCAGTCTAGATTTTTCCCCTTTTCTTTTACGTTTCCAAGAAAATACTCTTGAATTTCCAGAAAATAGTTTGAACCACATCCAGAACCATCCAGGATTAAATATAGCAAGATGGGAACCAATGACTTGTAGACCAAATGGAACATAAACATGGTACAGATGTCTCTGTTATTCTGCCATTAAACAGAATAACTTTTTCCCAAATCACATTCATTCAGTGTATTGCATAATATCTCTCAAACCCATCCCTGTGTTTTCATCATCATCATTCAAAGAAGCATAACATGAAACGGTCACCAAGCTGTAAATTCATACTTGCACACACCTTTTCTTTTACTTTATTTTGTTCATAATTCAACTTACACCTTTACTTCCTTGCACCTATTTGTTAACTCCACTGCACAAGATCAAATGACTCTTATTCAAACCTATTACACCATTTACATTTCTTTTTGTTTCACAATATTTTTTCATTTCATTTATTAATTAAATTCTTTTCATGGTCCTCTTAAATTCAAACAAGCTTGAATTCACATGATAACTCTCTTAAGCAATAGTCATGCCAAGCTTACAAATACTAGTATAACCAAAGCTAAAAGTGAACTAATAGGAAACAAGTGCAAACTGTATTATAGTACATCATAAAAGTGAAACATTTAAAATTGATTTTTGTTATATAGTCTTGCTTCTTCATTTTTAAAGATTAAATCTCTATGTTTGGATAATGTATTTGTTTTCACAAATCATTTCCCTCAAATTCCCCCAAAAGTATGGTCCTACTGTTGGTAATAAGCTGCTGAATTCTGGCAGCAAACTATCTTGGGAAATTCCAGAAAGCATTTTTAGAAAAAGCATTAAGTATAAGGTACCCACATTCTTTAATTGTAAATTGTCCATCTTAGCTTAAGAGACTCAAAGTTAAACATGGAAATATTACAAGCTCCATGGATTATTGGTTCTAGCTTAATCCATCATTGGGTTCAAACTGGTTTGACTGCCACATCCTTACATTTCTTCCAAGTTCCCTTTAGACAAAACACAGTGATGAGTCTACCAATTGAGCAGAGAATATGTGCATATGTTGTATGTAAATCTACAATACTGTATAGATTAGCTTTGATGGCTCACTTCAAAGAATATTAGAGTGTGTCCTTGAGAAATGTGATCTTAGTGGACAACCAGCTAAATATGAGCCAGCAGTGTGCAACAGCAGCCAAAAAAGCTAATGCAATCCTAAATTGCATTAACAGAGGGATACAATCTAGATCAAGGGAGGTACTAATACCACTCTATAAAGTCTTAGTAAGACCACACCTACTGCATCCAGTTTTGGTCACCACACTATAAAAAAGATGTTGAGATTCTAGAAAATGTACAGAGAAGAGCAACCAGGCTGATTAGGGGATTGGAGACTGAAACATGTGAAGAAGGATTACAGGAACTGGGCATGGCTAGTCTAATGAAGAAAAGCACCAGGGGAGACATGATAGCAGTCTTCCAATATTTGAGGGGCTGCCACAGAGAGGAAGGGGCCAAGCTATTTTCTAAAGCACCTGAAGGCCAGACAAGGAGTAACAGATGGAAACTGAACAAGGAGAAATTTAACCTGGAAATAAGAAAAAACTTTCTGACAGTGAGAACAATCAACCGGTAGAACAGCTTACCCTCTGAAGTTGTGGGAGTGCCATCACTTGAGACTTTCAAGAAGAGATTGGATTGCCATCTGTCAGAAATGATGTAGGGACTCCTGCTTGGGCAGGGGGTTGGACTAGATGACCTACAAGGTTGCTTCCAACTCTGATTATCTGTTATCTATTAATGTGTCAGATATTTCTACTTCCCTCACAAAATTAAGATTTTTAAACCACTTAGATCCCTGGTGTAGTTTTCCTAGACATTACAAGTAGTTAACTTATATCAGCTTTTTAATGAAACATTAAACCAAAGATGACACATTCGGGTACCCTGCAGAAAACAGATCTAAGAGCCAAATGCTGCAATCTTATATCCACTTAACAGGAAATTAATTTCACTGAATTATTTTATTTCAAAATAGTTGCAGTTACAACCTAGGGAGATGCTGTTGACAAGCCCCATAAGTCAAAGAGTGTGAGTGTCCAAACATCTAACAGGTTTCAATTTCAAAAAATTACATTATTCAAAAGGAAACACACTCTTCCACAATTTAGATGAGTAATCTCTGTTGATGTTTCACTTTGGAGATATTCCAGCTGGATGTGAATTAAAAAAAAAAAACTACAATCAGTTAAATTATAAAATTTAACTGCCTGCAATCAGACAAAATATAAAAGATATCTCTAGCTATACCCACAACTGGGAAGAGTTTATTTTAATATTTTCAAGATATAAAAGTAGAATTGTTGCATTATCTTTTCCATTGTCTAATTTCATACTTAATTTCCAGCATCTGCAATTATAAGAAGGCAAGAGGCAAATATACACAAAACTCATATGAAAGCTTAAAAGAGCCTGGAGGAACAATAATATCATTTTAATATCATTTTACATAGAAATGTTTTTTTTAAAAATGTAGAATGAATTGGAAATAAATTTGTACAGCAATAATCACTATGTTCAACAAAATTTTAAATGGATTAAGAAAATCATTTTCAAAGAAAAACAACCAAGTAAAATAAATACTGAACTATCTGAACAACTCTCAAAAGAAAATTTAAAAAGTGCTAAAGATGTCTTCTATTTACAAGGAGTGAATCCCAAAGGTGCTTTTTCAGGAGGCAACTGAGCTTTGTTTTTCTTTGAAGATGTTTCATTTCTCATCCAAGAAGCTTCTTCGGCTCTATCTGGAAGGTGGAGAAATGGAAGGATTTATATTCCATGCAGGCAGCTGGTCATTTGCATTCTTTTAAAGAGTTGTTGAGGCAACTTGGAGGTTTATCTGTGTCCTCAGGATCACCTAAGTAGTGCAAATGGGTGTGGAGCCTTTTGGGCTGAAGGATGTTTTCGGCCCTGTCTCCCTTCGCTGTTGAGGGTGTTGGGAGATGAGTCTGTGACCTGGATGACTGAGAAGCTCCATAGACTTTTAGCTATGCACTTTGGGATGAACACCCTTCAAATAGTGTGGGATTATGAACAGATTTCCAAAAAAATTGCAGACAACAGGAACCATTTGTATTTCAGTTTGAGATGCAGACAACACAGACTCAACCCCAACGGTCTGCATCGATCTTCAACAGTGAAGGGACACGGGGCAGAAAACACCCTGCAACCAAGACAGCTCCACTCCCATTTGCGCTACCAGGTGAACCTGATGACACATATAAACCTCCCGGTGGCCTCAACAACTCTCTAAAAGAATGCAAACGACCAGCTGT